GAGGGTGGACCGCTTGAGGTCAGGAGTTCGAGACCAGCCTGACCAACATGGTGAAACTATAAATAAATACTATAAATAAATAAAAAAATATACCTTTTGTATGTTTACAATTTTGTATTTATTTATAGTAGCTATAGTAAATACTATATTAGTGTTTACTAGATTAGCCAGGCATGGTGGTGCATGCCTGGAGTCCCAGCTACTTGGGAGACAGGAGAATCACTTGAACCCAGAAGGTGGAAGTTGCAGTGAACTGAGATTGCGCCATTGCACTCTAGCCTAGGCAACAAGAGAAAAATTCCATCTAAAAAAAAAAAAAAGTATTGTTTAGAGGAGCAAAACTATAAACCTACCTAGGCGTCTTGTAAAGCTGTTCAAAAAGTAACTCAGTGAGATTTGTGCATGAAAAGTGAGGTTTGTGCATGGAAATGTAGTGCCCAAGTCATTCTGCTCTAAAAGAATGTAACAAATAGAGATGAGTTGAAAAGAAAAAAATTGGAGATTTTCAGTACAGTTAGGTTCTATGATATCTAGTCAGAAAGATTCTTAATTCCCAGTTTTTCGAATGTATCTAAATTTACTCAACTATCTTCTTTAAAGTATATACCATAAATTAAGCGTTTTTACAATAACAAAGTTCATTATGAAGGAACAATGTTCTATAATAATTGCTCACCCTTAGTGTACTTTCTGAGTTTTGTTTTCTTAGACCAGGTCTCCTCAGGTGTGGCACATGAGCATCATGAACTATTGCATGCTCCCTGTGGGCATGAGGTACTTGCCTATCTAAATCAGAGGGACCTCTTTTTCATTCCTTTAGCTTCTGCTCATGGATTCAGAACCATTCCTGGGCCAAGGAAGAACACTCTGATTTTGAAATTCTGTAGAATCAGAGAGCTGCTGCAGGAATGGGAGAAGACAAAAGCTTCAGGACATTAAAAGGAGGGGCACAGGCAATCATAAATCAGAGAAAGATGCTGGTCCTGAAGAGCGAGCCACAAACCCTGGAGAGAGAGCCGCCTTGGTTCACTGATGACTGATAAGCCGACAACAGTTGGAGATGAGAGTAAGTCTAGCAACGTTCAAAGAGTGGGTGGGAAGAACACGGTTAAATCATCCAGAATAGCCACAGCAGCGAAAGCAGTTGAGAGAAAGTCTGCATTGGATAGGATTCAAATACCATCTGGGGGTTTCATTACATAAGGTAGAGAGAAGCACTTTGAAATGTGCTCTGTTTATCTTTCTTCCAGCAAAAGTCTCAACCATTGAAACTCTGAGCTTCTTTGGAGTCAGTGTCATTAGCCAGACACTCCCAGTGAAATCCAAACCCTACACTTCCTGCTGCCTGTTCATTTCTCACACACAGTCCATCCTCCAGAGGTATTTTATACAGCCCGACAGTGTGAAAGGATACATCCCTAACTGATCACAAAGAATCCCATGCAAGCCCTTAAAGACAAAAATGCACAGCATGGAAAAGTAAAAGATTAGAAAGAACTTTTTTAATAAAGCAAAGAAAGAAATTATATGCAGAAAAATTTCTAGACATTCTCTAAGTGTCCTTTTACAGATCTAGGCCACAGTAGTCTTCCCAAAGCATTGTTTCACCATGCTATTTCTTTATTCACAGGCAGGTTAGTGGTTCATGAACTTGAGTTTAGGATACTGTTATGGATTAAATTGTATCCATTCCAAATTCATGCTTAAGCCCTAACCCCTGCTGTGACTATAATTGAAGACAGAGCCTTTAAGGAGGTAATAAAGGTCAAATGAAGCCATAAGGGTGGAGCCTTATTCCAGTTGGACTGGGTTTTTTTATATACAAGAAAAAGAAGAGACACCAGAGTTCTTTCTGTCTCCACATGCACACAAAAGAAAAGCTATGTGTGAACACAGCAAAGAGGTGGCTGTCTGTAAGCCAAAAAGGGAGGCCTCACCAGAAACCAATCCTGCTGGCACCTTGATTTTGGACATCCAGCCTCCAGAACTGTGAGAAAATCAACTTCTGTTGTTTCTGCTGTTTAATACTCAGTCTATGGTATTTTGTTATGGCTGACTGAGAAAACTAATATATATAGTATATGGGGTCTACCATATACTTTTAAACAATCTTTCCAGTCACATCTATCTCTTCCAATTTCTCTGTCCATGGGGCACCTATTTCATATACCTTACGAATTCTAACACCCATATCTACACGTGTGGTGCCCCTCATCCTTGCTAATGCTTTTTCTGCATAAGGTGTTGAATCTCCTCCATTTCTCAAGTTCCTTCAGAGTTCCTGATTGATTCCTCTGCAGAGCCTTGTCTGTCACCCTAGGTGAGCACTGTGCTCCACTTTTCTAAACTGAGAGTCCTGCCTTCACTACTAATTTTACCTTTATCACATTCTGTCAGTACTTCTCTCAGAGGCATATCAGCTTCCCTATCATATAACTTTTCCATATTTAAAAAATTCTGTACTTATAATATAGAACACATAGAAAAACATGGAGGAAAGAAAAATAAAGGTCCCCCATAATACGACCATCTAATAAAATCATTATAGTCTTTTACTGTATCTGTGTATAGTTGTGTGCAGAACTTAACTTCATATACTTTACATAATGTTTCTTTCACTAAGTATATCTTTAACATCTTCATTATTATTTCAAAAAAGTTATTTTGAGTTATTATATTCCATCCTAGTGCTATAACTCATTTAACCAACTCCCTATTGATGAGGTTTTAAATTATTCATAATATAGCTCTGTTAAAAATAGGCTTGCAATAAATATTCTTTTTTTTCTTTTTTCTTTTTCTTTTTCTTTTTTTTTTTTTGAGACAGAGTCTCGTTCTGTAGCCCAGGCTGGAGTGCAGTGGCACAATCTGGGCTCACTGCAACCTCTGCCTCCTGGGTTCAAGCAATTCCCTGCCTCAGCCTCCAGAGTAGCTAGGATTACAGGCATGTGCCACCACACACAGCTAATGTTTCTATTTTTAGTAGAGACAGGGTTTTAGCATGTTGGCCAGGCTGGTCTCGAACTCCTGACCTTGTGATTCACCTGCCTCAGCCTCCCAAAGTGCTGGGATTACAGGCGTGAGCCACCATGCCCGGCCTATAAATATTCTTAATAAATAACTGTTGCATACGTTCATGAATATACCCTTGGTATCAAGTTCTACAAGTCACTTTCTTATGATATGTACAGTAAAATTATCTTCCAAAGAGTTCCCATTTCTCTACATTCCCTTTAAGAGTGCCCATTTCTCTACATTCCCAATTAATCCTTGGATATATTTTTTTAAAGCTTTATCAGTTTGAAATATTAATTTAAGGAGACCACAGACTCCACTGCTACTTACTACTATTGATGTTAAGCTGTCAATTATACGGCATCCTTAAGTTTACAAAAATATTTCCACAGACATAAATTAGAAACATAATTCACAGCATCTAGCATAGGGTTCTTCATATATAAATATCATAAAAAATTACATGATCATTGAATAAAAGTTGTGAAATGCCTTTTATATGCTACACCAAGAGTCACATAAATCAAAAAGTCACCCCCCAGTTAGATATAGATATAAGTAAGCTTTGTCAATTATTGCCAGTTTTTGCTACTCTGAATCTAATAGGCTATCTTCCCCCACTGTCTCTGCTCTACCCATTTACCTGTTTATTAATCATGGTGTATTCTCTCAGAAATTTATGAGTTGTAGGTGCAATAGTTAAGTGCATTTTAACATGTGGCATCTACAACATGACCTCTGATTTTTTAAGAAACAAGCAAGGAAAATATATTTCAGCTTGGTTACAGTGCTTTTTCTAGGTAGCTCTCTTCCGAAAAAGCTTTCACTATCTTTTTAAAAAATCACTTTCTTTTTTTCCCTGCATACATGAAGATCCTTCACTTGTAATCCTAATTTTGAGTATACATTTTCTATATTTTAATCTCTTACTTCTCAAGTACAACAAATTGGTTGTCATCTTCTGGTATGAAATCGCTCTCATCATTCTTATTCAAATGCCCTGTCAAAGAAGAGTGGTCTCCCTTACACTTTGAAAATGGATTGATGTCCAGGGACAGGATCCTCTCAGATGGCCCTGCTACTGTAGATGCCATCACCAGCCTCCATGAACTTCTCCAAGCCAGTCTATTATACCGTCTTGCCTTTCCACATCCCAAACCATTAACAACATCTCTACATGACTTTCACTTGTCCCAGAAAAATTCATGAAAACAGTTCACAAAACTAAAAAGACAAGCTACTATTTAAGACATCACTGCAACAGATAAGATTTTTTAAAAGACTACTCAAATTCATTTATTATTTGCCTAAATTCTTCATTTAACATTTAAGAAAAAATGTCAGAATTTTTTCCCTGAAATTACAAACCAAAAATGAACTGTTACTCCTCTTTTCCTTAGTCGACATTTTAACTTTGGGAAGTGAGAATTCTGACAGCTCTAGGTCTTTGGGTAGTAAGAATATGATAGGCTTTCTCGAATGAGTACCATTGTTTTTCTTAAATAGAACATATCTAGTAAATGATTCACGATGGGTGAAAAATATCATTCTTGTGAACTGGATTTAAAATGGATGAGAACACATGCCACTGCATCCAGCCTGGGTGACAGGGCGAGACTCTGTCTCAATAATAATAATAATAATAATAATAATAATAATAATAAATAAAATGGATGAGGAAAATTATTTTAGAGTTTAGATTTTACTCTTTGGTAGGAGTGGGTTGAACTGGCACTGTTCTCTGCTGGATAAGTGTCATATTCAGATTCACATATATGTCTGACAGCATTGAACTTCACTTTGTCACACACATAAGCTCATTCAATCATGAGATCAATCCTACGAGGAAAGTACTGCTACTATTTAATGGACAAGCAAATGAAGTTCATAGAAGTAAAATAATTTGTTTGACTAAACAATCTAGAAATATCAGAGCTGGGATTTGAACCCAGGCCTACCAAACACTCTTTTCATACTAGATTTACCTCTGAAATAGTTTTGCCCCAGGCATAAGTGCCATCTTCAGGTCTGCCTCCATTTAGATAAATCCACACTCGTTTTGTGTTGGGCTGCTTATACAGGCTGCTTGGCTTGACTGCTATATGTTTAGTTGCAATTGGAAAATTTCTTTTGGATTCCATTTCTTGAACTTCAGAAAGGTGAGCCTGTCCAGAAAAGCCCAGAGAATGTTGTATTTAGAGAACTGTCTGTTTAGTGTTTGTAAAGAATGTGATAAAATCCAGAAGCATCTTGTAATTAATAAATTACATGGAAAAATATTTTAGGAAGTAACTATTAAGTACATTAGTCTTTTTGTCACTGACTCTAGCAAATTCCCCTTGCTTCAATGAAACACTAAAGGCAATAAAAATCATTAGAAGAAGAAGAAGAAGGCACTCATTTGGGCAAAGCACTTAACTCTCATTTATAACGTGAAGAAATGAAGAGAGATGTGTTTTTGGACTTTTGCATGATGTTTCTCCTACTGAGAGATTTCTCTGCATCTAACAAATTAGTTTTTTATTAGAATGACATCATTTCCTCTAACCAAGAAATGTGTACAGGAGTATACATGAGTGTTGTTTCAGTCCTTACTTGCTATCTTTTAAAATACAGCAGCCAGGCCGGGCGCGGTGGCTCAAGCCTGTAATCCCAGCACTTTGGGAGGCCGAGGCGGGTGGATCACGAGGTCGAGAGATCGAGACCATCCTGGTCAACCTGGTGAAACCCCGTCTCTACTAAAAATACAAAAAATTAGCTGGGCATGGTGGCGCGTGCCTGTAATCCCAGCTACTCAGGAGGCTGAGGCAGGAGAATTGCCTGAACCCAGGAGGCGGAGGTTGCGGTGAGCCGAGATCGCGCCATTGCACTCCAGCCTGGGTAACAAGAGCGAAACTCCGTCTCAAAAAAAACAAAAAAATAAAAAAATAAAATAAAATAAAATACAGCAGCCACCCTTACACTTTGCCAGATTCCTGACAGGCAGATTTTTATTCTACTTCAAGCATGTCCTAGTTCAATGCTTTGCATTCATTCCCTGGTCAGTGATTTATCCTTCTTAGCTTGGCACGAAGTCATATTTCTAGGGATGTCAACTCCTTTTGTTCTAGTAACCTTGACTTGGGCACGTGCCTAAGATTTAGATTGAATACATTTCACGAATTTGAGAAATCTTATTAAATAGGAACATATCATTTTGATGAAAAACTTCACAAAGCAAAAAGTTTTCCCTGGTCTCTCTCTCCCGTCCTCTCTCAACAGCTGACCTTTATCTTTTCGACTTTTTTATGTCTGGCAAACCTGACTGATTAACCAATTGGACTGAAACCACTTTTTTAATTCTTCACTTCTGAATGTCTCCATTGCAATTAGTATTTTGCTCCTTGCTCTTTTTACATATTGAGACATGCCCTTAGGAGTAATGAGCAATGAAGTCAGAAGGCTCAACTTGACTACAATTATTACAATTACCTTTGTACATATCCACTGGGCCTTTTTCTCTTCTTTGCTAAGGTCATAATTTCTGATCTCCGTTCAAACAAAACAGGCTCTTATATGAGCTGACTGTCTTTTAGACAGCTACTCTCCAAATGCCAACTCAATGCCTGGCATATGCTTATATGATCATAACTGATCAGATGCTGAGAATATATTAACAGCATCATTTAAAAATCTAATAATGTACTTTTAAATACTCATAAAAAGGGCAGAGCATTTAATGTCCAGAATCCCAAAGAGCATACCTCTGTATGTCTCATAAGTTCCATGAGTTTAATTTCCTCTTGAGTCTTTTCGGTCCATCCTCCTTCAACCACCACGGGCTGCACAGGGCTTTTGGTAGGAACCATGGTGGCAGGCTGACATGCCACTACTCGCCGCCCTGGGGAAACAAGTCTCTAGAAATTTTGTTTCTGATGATAGGCTTTCAGATTTCAAATAAGTTGGTTTGGCTTTCTATGCATAAATCATTCCACACAGGAGCATAGACTAAAATACTACATATATCATAAAAGTAAAGATGTCCAAGGTAATAATATCTAACAACACCTCTTAAGATGGGAGCTTCAGGCTTTAAATGGCTATGATTCTCATACCTACTCTACAGATGGAAGAGGAAGATAACATGCTGATTTCCTCACTGGTCTCAGCCTCGCATCCATGACATGGTACAGCGGTAATTTAGTCAAATAGAATTCATGACCTTATATAGCCCCTATCATCCTTCTAGTCTTGGAACATATGTTTTATTCTCTTCACTAATAATAAGCTTTTCCCCCACAATTAGCTTAGCAGAGTGGGGATTAAGTATTTCTAAAATAATATTAACCCAAGAGACAGGAACTTCTTTTTCTATCTAATAATACCCTGTGAGCACGGTTAGTTTTTGACACCTCCGCTGTGCCCTTTATGCTGTTAGAAAGCTGTAGTAAGAGAAAATATTTATTGAAATACTGTATTCTAAAGAATCACAGGAATGATTTAATAAGTGCGATGATTCCAATTCATGTGTTCTTTCAACTAGACCACTTAAAATAATTATAAAAGAGGTTTAAAAAGTCACACTTATGAAATTGTTTTCTTTTTCTGTGTTGAAGATATACTCAGCTCACATTTCATATTGATCTCTAAACTTGTTAAGTAAAAATAATGCTTTCTCTTGCATCTTCTTTCCAGAAACCTATATTGAGCAACAGCTATGGGTGAGGTGTTATGTTGGATAATACAAACATGTTGGAGAATGAGTTCCTGCCTCAGGTTTGGTCGGGAAGGCAGACATCAAGGAAATGATTACACCAATAGTTGATTGCAACTGGGAGTTGCTAACCTAGTCTGAGTCATCACAGAAGGTTTCTTAGAGAGAGTAACATCTAGGTTCATAAAACAATAGAACTACTAAAATGAAATTGAGTTTCAATTTTGTTGCCAACATAATCTTAATGTGCAGATTGTTTCAGAGTATAGCTCAAACAAAACTCTTTGAAAATAATCTGTACTTGTAAAGGATAAAGCATTTGCGTTCCTCTAGCTCAACTTTATGGAAATAGATCCAGCACTAAAAATAAATGGCAACAATGACTTTTCAGGGAAACCAGAACTCTATGTCCCTAATAAGGATTCATATGTGATTTATGGATGTGAAGAAAACATAATTGAATCAATCAGTCAAGAGTTACAGTGACAATGCCACTAAGCAATGCACTTTGGAGAAGACCATGGTGGCACATCACAAATACATAAGACAAATTTATACTAAATATAGTTTTCATACAACTCTACTTACAGAGTGCACATAACATTAATTTATGACCCATACATTTTTATAAATAACATTTCAACAAATATTTTATTTATAATGCATTTTCAATGCTACAATTTTGCTCAACTACAGAGAGTTCAGCAATAGTTTATCATTTACACTGTTGAGAGTTAGAGATTGAGTACAGAAAACAGGCAAAAACATGCATTTTTTGTCAACTTGCTTCTAATGGTCATAAGAAAATTAATGCATTTGCACTATAGTTTTCATAAAGAGACAATGTCATCACAAAAGGTTTTAGTTTGAGGGAAGGTTTTTATGATAAGCTATTATTTACATGGGTATGAATAACAAAAATTGAAATCAAATGATGATATATGCAATGAATGATTTTTCATTTTTTATTGCATTTTCCCACATATCCTATTTTATTTCACATGAGATCAGGTGATAGTAATTATAACAGCTATCTATTTATTAATGAGGCATGCCTCTTCTCTAGTCCTATTGCTTCATTTTGAGGATGGAACCACGCTGATATTGCAGATTATTTTTCTGATTGGAAATTGGGGAAAATAACTGGGAATTCTTGGCCCATTTTTTATCTTAGAAACTAGAAAACACAAATGCTTTGCTTCTTTCATGCAATGAGTCTTGCCCAAGCAGCTCTCCCCATTTCCTGTCTTATTGGGAGGCCCACCCTCATTCAGAATCACCTGTGTCTGCAAGGGTACGCCCATCCAATTTGAGGTTTCAGTTAGCAGACGTATTTAGCTTTCACACTAAATTAAATGCTCCAACATTACCTTTACATGTAACACCGGTAATGATTTAGCAGGATCTGCCATTCCCGAGTTTTATTTATTTATTAGTTTTATAACCCCAAGTGCGTAAATGAGTTGCCTTTTCAGGAACCCTTACTCCAATATTTATTGAATATTTATTATATACTAACCATCTAGTAAAGATTTGACATTTGTTACTTAATCATGAAAACCCTACAAAGTAATTACTAGAATTATGATTAATATTAGCAATGTTTATGTTTATCAATGAAATATAAAATCAGCTTAGCACAGTGTTTTGTACATAGGATATGCTCAATAAATACTTGTTGTATTTACCAATGGCTATGACAACATAATTAGCAATTATTCATACCTCCTGTTTTACCCATCACTCAGGAAGCTCACAATCTTACAGGTCCTGAAGATAACTGAGCTAAGACTTGTTTTCATTTATCCTCATAATCTCACCAGTAGAAAAAGTCTTTCATGAGAGTAAATGTTTTATAAGCATGTGTTGAATTTATATTTAATAGCAGAAAACGTACCAGTTTGTCAATAGTGACAAGATTTATGTTAGCATTAAATTCTAAGTGAAACCACATCAATGGATCCCTCCAGAATGGACATCACTGACAAAATACAGAATTTCAAACAGTGGTATTGTAGATGACAACAAATTAACTTCAAAAATTTTAAATACTTAATTGTAATAAAAACTGAAGACAATATAAAATCAGAATTCAATAAAGGTAGCCATGCCAGGTGCTATTTTCAGTATTTAACTTGACACGGTAATAGAACTTGAAAAACACCCTAGAGTGAATGGTTGAAATTCCATTTATTCTTTACATCAGTCATTCTACAACTATTCAGAGAACAAAAGAGAAGGGTGTAGAATTTATAATCTAACATTATAAGACTGTCACATAAACAGGTAATCATAATAATGTGATGAGGACTATCAGAGGGGAAGTTCAGGGTGTAATAAACCACATTACCCTAGGCTTGGAATGCTGAGGAAGGCTTCTGGGAAGAAGTGACAAGTAACCTAAGAAGACACAGAATGAGCAGGAGCAACCTAAGAGGACAGGAGAGGGAAAACTTTGAGGTAGAGGGAACTAAAATATGCCAAAATCTCAGAGTTAAGAAAGTGTATGGTATGTCTGGGGAGCTAAAAGAAAGTTAAAATGTGTGATGTGTAGTGGGCAAGGAACTTACAGAGAACAAGATTATAAAGGGCCACGCTAAGCAGTTTCAGCTTTGTCCCAAAGATAATAGGAAGCCTTGCAAGATTTTATGCCTAGAATATCATAACACCTTTGCATTTTTGCATAATCATTTCAACTTCAGAATGTCACCATTACTTATAGAATGGAAACCACTGTCAAGATGTGAAGCAGTGGGGAACAGTTAGAAAACTGTTCTGGTGGTCCAAGGAATATAGATGATGGTAGCTTGAACTTGGGTAGTGATATATAGGCTGAGAGAGTTAGAATCATTTGAGATCAATTTAACAGATTCAAAGTAACAAGGATTACTGAATATTTGCTTGGGGAAGGTAAGAGAAAGGGAGATGTCAATAACAACATCCAGGGATTTGAAGAGTAACACCTGGGTAGATGGTAGTAGAACCTACTACCAGCAGAAACAAAGGAGGCATTGATGCTGGGGGAATATGACAGCTGAAGTTTTGGACATGTCCACAGAACATTCAAGTCAAAATGTCTAGTAGGAGTAGTAGAGGAAAGTAGTAGTAATATTTTTCACTTACACTCAATCCTTCTTTTGGTAAGAACTGGATAATAGTTATTTCAAACCACGGTTCAATCTAATGCAGTTAGGACTAGTTGTGCTATTTATTGAAGCAAGATTCATATGCTTTTAACACAAGACAGCAACAGGAGTTGAAATTCTGCTATGGCAATTACTGAGCTTGAAATGTGCTCCTTCCTAGACTCAAGTCCTTAGTACAATGTTTCTCCCCAAAGAACCATTTGTATCTCAAGCCCTGGGAGTAGTATAATGTCAGAAACCTAAGATTCTGTGAAAGGAAGAATGGAAGGAGACCAATATAGATCACTATGACTGTGAATAGCATGTCTCATGCTGTATAAAAAGGAGGAGTCATTTTAAGTTACTGACACTGACTTTTCAAGATTTTAGTACTTCCTCATTCAGATTTTAAAATTAAAAAAAAAAAAAAAAACTTTCTTCCCCACTAATACCGAAGGAATGACAGCAAGGTTTGTTTAAATATTAATTCCAAAGCCCAAAATATGTCCATTGAGGGATTATTTCAAAAACAATGGGGTAGTTTCTCTTGCTCAGATAACCTCCTAATTTTTAAAATGTATGCATAAGTCATTTGATATTCATTTTCATATAAAACTTACAAATATAATATCAGAACAAAAAAGATATTATTAAGTTTTAGACTTTGCTCAAATGATTTATGCAAAACAGTATTTATAAAATACTCATTAGTTAAATACCTGATATCTAATGGTAGAAAATAACCATTAGCAATTTGAGGTTACATTTTGAATTAAATATGGTTATGTTTGATACAGCTCACACTGACCTTTTAACTGTCTCATTTTGTGTCTCATGGTGTTTAGATCAGCCAAAATTCTGTGCTTTTTTAGCCAGTTCTGTTTCTGTATTTTTTTTGCTTTCTGCAAAGCTAGAATAATAAAAATACAAGATATTTTATCAACAGCAATTTATCATGCACACCAATAATTTATAAAGAACTTTCTGCTCGAAGAAATAGATTCAATTAGAAACAAGTAATTAAAAGGTAAGGGTCATTAAAAGAAATCTCATTTGAAAGATGACAGGGCTTAAGGCATTTCTTTATGGAATGGAGGGGTTAAAAAAAGAAAAAGAACAATGCTGCTTTATTATATAGATTTACCATATGCAATAGCCATATTTCATTTTCCACTTCCACAAACTATTTGGAGGTGATGAAAGCCTGGCTTGGAACCATTCATTTTTTAAACATCCACCTACTGCCTAAAGGGTGCAATTCTTAAAAATGAAAATGTGCAGACAGGTCGTCCTCAGTGTGAATTAAACTCATTTGTTATTTTCTAATGTATACCATTATTCTCAGCCTTATAGACCAAGGATCTCTTTATCAAGTAAATTAGACATTTTTCCACACAGAATACTCCATTCTAGTATGAAAAAAAACAGGCAAATGTGCAAATATGAAAGCATTGCTATCCTTGTGCACATATTAATTGATGAACCTTCTGTTCTTTGTACAAATGTGATGTTATTATGTTGATATTATACACATTTAATTCATTTTCTTATGATGGCATAAAATGTATTTCTCTCTTCCTTCATACACTTGCTTGAAAGAAAGTAAAAACCAAACACTTACCGTTTGGAGGTAGAAATGGTTCACCACAAGATACCCAGATGGCAATAGGATTTCTGAGAATGAGGGTAAGCAAAGACTCATCTATATCACCCAAACTATCAGACGTCACAGATTTTGGAAATAATTTGTTTTTCACTTTCATTCTTGGGTGTTCTGGTGGAAAAAAATGACACATTTATCATTATTCAATAAACAATGAATAAATTTGCTTTCTAAATTTGTTTATTCAAAATATTTTTTTATTCATTAGTAACTTAACTTGAGTTAAACAGGCAATGCCAGAATTGGAGGCTGATGTATAAATTTGGTCAGAAACTTCATATACAACCAAAAAATTAAACTAATGAGTACCTATGCAACAATCTTACATGTTTTTCACATGTACCCCAAAACCTAAACTGCAATTAAAAAAAAAGAAAAAGAAAAGATTGTAAATATATGTTTTAATTTCTTTCTTACACATCATCTTGTTCTGAAAGAAATTTGAGGTGGCTTACCAAAATACCTACTCCGAAATGGAAAAAACAGAGATAAGAAAATCAAGTACAGGGAAAAAGGTATATGGGAATAGACTAAAGCCAGGAATAAGGTACCTCAGTGTTCTTATATTTTAAATGAATATTAATGTCTCACTCTGCTGTTTCTTTTTTTAAAAGAAAAAACTAACATGCTTAGAAGAAATAGTCTTTAGCCTATTTACTCTGATGACCATCCAATAAATGTTAGATATTATTTTTATTGTTAAACAGATATAAATACCACCCTGTTTTGACTTGCTAGAGATAAAGCAAAATTTGGGCTCTGAGCTTCCTAATGACCAAAGCAAAGAGAAAAACACAATTTCCAGTTTCGTATGGCCCACATATAGTGAGAAATTTTTTAGAAAATGTACTTTTCCTGGCTCGTAGATCTGAGGAAAATTCATTTAAAGGTCCTCATAAAGAGGTTATTCATGATATAGCTAACAATATCCTTCAATAGAAAATTAATATATATTGAGAATTTACTGTATATTTGGTATTTTACTAAGGCCTATACACACATGGTCTCATGTGATTCTCAAAATGATACTCTGAGACTCTGAGTTAGGCCTTATTAACAGTCTTCTTTTACAAATATGGTAACTGAGCTTTAGTGACATAGCTGGGTGGTGGCAGAGCCAGGATTAGAATCCAGGCCATCTGCCAGTGAAGCCTGTGCTCTTAACCACTGCCTGCATACTAAGCACTATGCTGAATTCTGACCAACAGCTGTTTCTTTAAAGTTCCTTAATGCAAACTGATGGCATAACACCAAGCCACGAAAGGGGGCAGCCTACTGATGGCCTTGCCTAATTTAAGAATACCCTTTAGAGTGTAAGAAGGAAGAGATGGAATCAAAAGAATACCCTTTTGACAGTCCTACATGAATAACACTACTCTAACCAGGCTTTAAATCAGAATTTAATGAAGAGTGTTTGAAGTTACAATTTTATAAAACCTGAAGTTCAGATATTCTATATGCCAAATAAAGACAGAAATATGCTTCAGCAATCAGCTATGCATTAAATGTTCACATAAATATTTCTTAAAATTCATTTGAAGACAAAATGAGTAATGTTCTATACACAAACATGGTAAGTAATTTCACCGAATGTTTAGTAAGTATCAACCAGGCACTGTTCTAAATTGTGTGTGTGTGTGTGTGTGTGTGTGTAAATATAAATATATACACACATGCATATATATATTCTTACGAGTATACATTCACACTTATGAGGACAGAATGAATATATTCATGATGACCGGACAAATACAAATATTGAAAATATAGATATATTTGTGAAATATAGATATATTTGCTATGGTTTGAATGTGTCATCTCCAAAGCTATGGTGTTAAAACTTAATGGCCAATGTAATGATATTAAGGGAGACAGAAACTTTAAGATGTGATTAGATCATAAGAGCTCCTCTTCTTGGGAATGGAATGAAGGCCCTTATGAAAGAAGCTTCATACAGTGCTGGGCTCTTTTGCCCTTTCTGCTTTCCATTGTGTGAGGACAAAGCACTCTTCCCCTATAGAGAATGTAACCCTCACCAGACAACCAGATCTACTGTTCTCTTGCTCTTGGACTTCCTAGCCTCCAGAATTGTGAGAAACAAAGTTTTGTTCTTTATAAATTAACCAGTCTGTGGTATTCTGTTACAGCAACACTAATGGACTAAGACAGTGTTATATATATAATGGAGACATATTAAATATATATATATACACATATATGTATGTATAGATATACACACATATGTATATACACTCACATATATACACACACATATATGTGTGTGTATATATATCCACGAAATAATTGACTATTTACAAATAGTAAAATATATAAAGTTTATGTAAAAATTTAAAATAGTAAAATATAGTTAAAAATGGATCCCAGCTTTATAAATAAGAAAATTGGAATATAAGAGTAGTTAAAATGCTTACCCAAAGCCATTGAGTTCGCAAGTGACAAAGCTGGGATTTGAACCCTGGTATTCTGGCTCCAAAACCCAAGTTCTTAACTTCTAAATTATGCCTGTCAATACAACCACGGAAATCTTATACTGAGAAAACTCTACTGAATCACTACTACCAAGACTTGCTTTTATTTAGCAGTGTTGTTTGGGACACACAGAGTCACTGCCCTCAAACTGCAAATAGTCTAATGAGACACACACAGCTATAAACAGATCATTATCATGCAATGTGCCCAAAAATGCAATAGATGGACAATGACTGGAGCTTCTGGGAGACAGTTAAAAGTGGAGGTGACAGAGACAGGGGAGGGGAGTTGAAGGACAGTAGAAGCATAGAGAGGACACCTTCTCTTCTAATAGTAGCAAGAGATTTCCATTGATCCAGCCCCAATTTCTTAAGTGGTCTCCAGTTGGTTTTGGTTCTGAGTAAGAACAAAACATGATTATGTTTCATAAAGCAGCTTAACTGTCAAACATATTTTATTAATTCTATGCAATTAATTTATTGTTTCAGTGCCAAAATAAAAATTTGCATGAATTTTTAATTTTTCTTATAATTCTGCAAGGTAAAAACAACATGACAATTTCAGTGACACTCTTGGAGTCACAAAAGTAGCTTCCTATGATTTTGAAATTCTGAAAAAAGTGACTAAATAATCATGTTTAACATTTTCATGATTAAGCATAAATAGAATCAGCTAAATGCTGTATAATGTAGCCAACCTTCCATAATTCCAACCATTATCTGTTCTTTTCCAACAGAAGCCACATCTTGCTTTTGTTTCTCGGAGTCTCTCTGGAGAAAGGATTCATCTAGAGCCCATAAAACCAAGTCACGCAAGGTAAAGATTGGGGTTCCATCTTTGGTATATACTTTGGAGGCTGCTCTGGAAAGCCCAAGTTGCTCCGTGCATTCTGTAAGAAGCTAGATAACACAGGCAGTAAGAATCTGACAGGCAAAGGTGATGGAATTGGGAATAATCATTAAGAGCTTGTCATTCTAAAAGTCTGAAGAAAATCATTGAATTTGAATAAACAAAAAGCTGAATTGCTACTGATCTTCATCTTTGATTAGAGTATTTTCGATATTAGACTGTCCTACTTAATATCACAACATAGTTCAATCCAGCTGTAAATTTCCAAGCTCCAAAAATTTAACATGGCAGCTGACATATATTAATACATTTCAGCATCAGAATATTTTCTAAGAAATGTTCAACTTAAAAATCCACTTTCAATTTTGTTGCTTTATAAGGTATATAATTGTTGTAACTTTATACTGATAAACTGCTTTAAAATAAGTAGTTAACCTTCAAACCAAGAACTGACAGGTATTTTTACCTTTCTTTTGCAGATGGAAAAACAGGATGAAAGCTTAAAATTTTTGCCCAAGGGAAAGCTAACTGTGGATCCCCGGGTGAATCTTGGAGTCACTAACATCTGTACTTTGCTTAGTCTATTGAACAACAATACCTAATTTTTAAAACACTATTCTCAACCAAAAAGGTGAGGGAATAGATATGGGTGCTTGCAAGGAAGTCTGCAGGGTAACTCCATATCATGTCAAACATCACTTGTAAAATACATTGTTAAAGGCACTGGCCAGAATGAATAGACAAGATAATCACTAAGTAGTGCAAGGACAAAGCTGGTTTGGGGCATTCTGGGTTCTCCTCTCTTCCCATGACTATGGGGAGCAACTTGAAAGGTAGACCATTTAGTTCCTCCTAATACAACTCCTGCTTCCCCAATTTGAAAATGAAATGAAACATCCTATCAACAAATAGATGCCCAGATGTTCCAGATGATGAATGCAATGTGTCCCAAAACACAATACATGGCATCTCTTGGATGATTCAGATGACATGCAACTTGAAGCTGGCATGAGAAACAAGAAAGAAAAAGGCATTCAGTCCATCACAAGAAGGAAGAAAATCTAGCACCTTTGTTTTCCTCTCCCTTATAGATCTCTGCTCAGGAGCCAATCTAAAAACTGTATTTTCATTTCTAATTTTTCTAAGTCTGTATCCACAGACATACAATCAAATAAATGTCTTTAAGTAAACAGAGATCTTGATCTCATCAGCTTAAATTGGTGAATCTGGCCAAGGATATTTATCACTCAATCTCACTGCTTTTACTTGTCAGAAGAATTGCCATTATCATTACCTCTGAAGATGCAGGCAGCATTTAAGTGATAGCCACTTACCATGGGGAATGTTCCAGCCACAATTAACTTCCCATTATGATATCCATCCCCATTTTTGTATGCAATTATTTTCACTGCCTTCTGGTGCATGGCTGCTATGCCACTGTGAGATGCAGCTTGTGTGCAGGTCTTCATCCGTAAAGACAATAGATGTGCTTGGTAATAACTTAGAGTTTTTTCAGCCTCGTCACATGATAAATCAACCTAATTTATTTTTTAAAATAAATTCAACATTTACTCAAACTTTCTTGTTTTAGTTTGCTTTACTTCAGTCTCTTAATTTAATAAATGTATATATACATATGTGATGTCTAAATTTTGCAATGCTCCCTTCATGTGTTATAGATATTGAATACTAGAGTTGGAAGGATATTGGATCCAAATTCCTCAGTTCCCTCTCAGACCTGTCACTGAGTCACTAGGTGATTCTGGGCATCTGGCTTTTGTTTCTGGCATTGTTTTGTTTTTGTTTGTTTGTGTTTTGCTTTCTCTCTGCCATGGCCAGAGAGAGCCTGAATTAAATTAATAATACACCAACATTATAGATAGCCTCTAAATTTTTCACTTTAGAATGATTCCGTCATATGGTGGAAGACGTTTATGAATGAGGAGGGGAATGAGTGTAGCTTTAGCCAGTTGGTAGTAAGGGTGGTGAACACTGTTCCCCTTTTCATCCCAACCTAGGACACCGCCCTGAGGGCAAAGCTCTGTCTGAAATTCTGTAGCATTGGGGATTCTTTCCTACCAGCTCCTCACCATCTCCTTAGCATTATCCCACTATCTTCAAAGCAAACCAGAAGCCTTCAGGTTTCCCAGAGGACTGACTTCCTTTCTCCTTCAGAGCTATTGCTTCTGCTGGTGTTTTCTGTAACCCCGATGTGTATCAGGATTAGGGAAAGGAGGAAGGTGATGTGGAGATGGGATGAGCAAGCCCTGAAGAGCACACCAGGCTGGACGATATTCCACCTTTTAGGAATCGCTCCTTTTTTTTTTTTTTCAGGTGTGGAAGTTTCCTTAGTTCTTTTTACTTGTAAAGTTGAAAGGGTGGTTTTTTTTTGTTTTTTTGTTTTTTTTTGTTTTTTGTTTTTTTTGGTAACATTTTAAACTAAGGTTACAGGAAAGTGGTAGAGGTTTTTTTTTTTTCCCCTCCATGAGCTCTAAATACTGTTAGACATGGATGTGTGAATTCAGGCACCCAACCTGAACAGTCATTAACAACAACACATCCAATTCCCCCTGAAATGTTCCATGCTAGTAAAAAGAAGTTTTTTCCTGTAGATATAGGCAAAAAGCTATTCCACAAAGTAAAGATTTGCAGTGACTTCCTCACCTAAAAGCAACACTGAGAACAGTGAAATGTGTCAGTAAATGATTAAAGCTGCAGAAGTGCCCAATTAACTTCAAAGAGTGTATTGAACTATTAATAGACAATGCATTTTAAATTACAATGAGGAAGAGGAAATCAATGCAGGTAGAATGGTAAAGGTGCATCTGAGGAAGATGAATTGGATAAGTGGAAATGAACTTGAGTGCAAGGCAGATAATGAATGCATCAAAGTTTCCAAATTGTTGCCATATGTGCATTAGCAGAGCTCAGATCATTACATACCTCAGCCACATTGATGACCTTGAACGGCCCTTGTAAGGAGGGCTTTTGGGTCTTGGAGCCTGAAGCACAGAGGAATGTAACCCCTGGAAGCAATTGTTTCAGTCCCTTCTCTGTTCTCATGGATTGTCCACAAGCCAAGCAGAGCATCGTTTTTCTCTTTCCATCGGGTGAGAGATAATAGTATCCCTAAAATGGGAGTCAGAGATGCCTTTATACAGGAGCATCTAAATTGTTATAGCATTGCTATAGAACATTTTCAAAATAAATATAGCACTTTTAACATCCCAAAATGCTAAATTTAAAATCCCAACATAAAGGTATTATTTTGTTCCCATATATATGTGTGTATGGATGTATGTATGGGGGTGTGTGTGTGTGTGTGTGTGTGTGTGTGAACGCATGTATGTATGTATGTATTTTTTAAAGTATTTCCAAATTCTGTAATGACAATTCAAATCAATGAATATAAACTGTGTGCAAAATCAGTTTCTTGGAGGAATGGCCAGCTCCAGATTTGGGGCAAGAAATATACAAGATAAGCAAGGGATATCTTGTGCCCTGAAAGAAAAGAAGCCATCATCATGTTCAAAAGACATAGGAGCCAGGAGCCTCTATTGCCCCAAAATGGGATAATTATGGAGCAACAAAAAGAATGATAACTAAAACATTTTGAAAATATTTATAAAATCCTATGAGTGTATAATGATACTAACAATATAAGTAAAAACAAATAAACAAAATCCAAACAAATAAAAACAAAACTATTTCCAATCAGGATGTAGAATCTCTTTCTCCTTTACTTCTTTCCTTGAATCTGGGAAGGGCCATGAGACCTGATTTAGCCAACATAGCACTAGCAAATGTGATGCAAGCAGATGCATAAGAAGTGCTTTCACAATGGAGCTTGTTCTCTTTTGGCTGCCATTGAACTTGAGGTAACCTGCTGGAGAAGACATGTAGTTGAAGAACCAATGTTCCCAGCTAACAGCCTGCCAACCACCAGACAGGTGAAGGATGCCATCTTTGACCATCCAGTCCACATAAAAACACCCAGCTACTGAAGAACCACCAGATGACTGTAGCCACATTAGTGACCTGGGACAAGACCAGCAGAACTACCCAGCTGACTGCAGCTCAAATTGCTGGCCCACAAAGCAAAAAATGAGTTTTTTGTTTAAGCCACTAAATTTTCAGGGGTTTTGTTACATTGAGTGAAATCAATAGAAAGACTTAGGCATTCATCCTACATTCCCTTACAAACCATATTTTTGAGTAGTCAAATATTGAATTAATGAGGTAAAGTTCTTCCTTCTATTAAAAGTTTACTTGATCAATGTAGGAAAATATGATAGAATTAGACAAGATTGACCCTTTTGAAACAAGAGGGCAATGTTAAATGAAATGTCATTGGGGAATTGTTAAACATGAAATCAGGTTGTAAACACCTGAACCTACTCAAAACTATCAGGAATAAAAATGGAAAATCCACACATTGCTTGTGTGAGTGATAAATAGGAAACATGTAGAAAAACCTATGAAGATTCTGGCCAAAAAAAAAGTTAAACATAAATCTAATTACAACTATAGGACTCAATTCCATTTACAGAAATTATGGGCATGGGGAAACAGTCAAAAGATGCCACAAAGAAGAAAGTAAACAAATTCAACTAAGGGGCGTTCAGTATGATAATGGAGCCAGACTATGCAGCTGAGTGTCATATGGAGACCTTATTTGAATCTTGACACCAACCAACAAACCATAAAAAAAAAATTTAGGGCAATCTGGGAAATTTGATTAAGGACAGGGTATTAGATGGCCAAAGAATTCTTGTTAATCTTATTATCTGTGAGAATGGCATGATGATTGTGCCAAAAAATGTCCAAAATTTTTGGAAGAATGTGTCTAATATGGAGGTTAAATAATATAATGTCTGGGGTTGGCAAACATGAAAAAACCTAGATAATAGTTAAATATGAATGATGGTAAATGAAGATTTATTGTCCTAGTCTCTCTACTTTGGAATACATATGAAAATTTTCATAATACAAATTTTAAGAATGTTAGATTAATATAAACTACATAATTTTTTTTCACAATTTTCCTTCATTCTTTCCTACCTGAATCAGAGTCTGTGTTATTTCACTCAAAATTCAGCATTCAACTTACATGAACATAATGTTTTCTAGGGAAAAAAAAATTTTTTATTTTATTAAATTACTCTTTTACCCTATTTTTATCTTTGACAGGAAGGGACCACTTACTGGTTGATCAATGTTTTCTTCTTTAATTACAGATGATGTACAAACACCAGCATAATTTGCTGATGTGATTTCCTTATCCAAGGCAGTGCTATGAAAGGCCCCAAGTGCTTTTATATTTTTCATGTAATGCCACTTTTGATTGGCAGTTCCATTGCTGTATGGCTTGTATTTCTAAAAAAAGAGGCAAAATATGGAGTCAAGTGAGTTCATAAGAAGGTTATAGTATCTTGTTTTTCATTGCATAAATCCAGAAAATACAGCTAATTATTCATAATCATACCATGTAGTGACGACTACTACTCTTGAAATTTTAGTGATTAGATAAGCAATCTACTTTGTATTTATAAATATGCATTCTTTGATTTATAAAAATAGAATAATAAAATGCATATAATTTGGTAACTGCAGGTTTTTTTCTTAACAATATTCCCTGAACCTTTTTCTAACATCTTGTAAAAACACATACCATTTCATTTTAGGGATATTTTACTAATCTTCAATAGTTAAACATATAGGTTCTTTCTCAAAATTTATTAAAATAAACAATTAGTGTAAATAAATATTTGGGTAAATCCATGATAATTTGATAATTTTTTAGGACAAATTTCTAGAAGTAGAGTTGCTGATAAAAAAATCATTTTAAGCCGGGAGCAGTGGCTCAAGCCTGTAATCCTAGCACTTTGGGAGGCCGAGGCGGGTGGATCACGAGGTCAAGAGATCGAGACCATCGTGGTCAACATGGTGAAACCCCGTCTCTACTAAAAAATACAAAAAAAAATTAGCTGGGCATGGTGGCGCGTGCCTGTAATCCCAGCTACTCAGGAGGCTGAGGCAGGAGAATTGCCTGAACCCAGGAGGCGGAGGATGCGGTGAGCCGAGATCGTGCCATTGCACTCCAACCTGGGTAACAAGAGCGAAACTCCGTCTCACAAAAAAAAAAAAAAAAGAAAGAAATCATTTTAAAGATTATGATATATCAAAATGCTTCCTAGAGATATTATTTTACCTTGCACTTCTACCAATAGTAAACTAAATGACCCATTTTTCTTATATTCTTGACAAAAAATGGGCAATACTTCCAAACACAAATATAATAAATTTAAAAATTGTATCTTGTTGATATTTTAATTTACATTTCACTGATTATCAGAGGTTTTTCTTTTAAGTACATTCAGTTAAATACATAATAAAAACAATATATTTATTCTAATTATAATAGTTGGCTCAAGTACAAATAAAGAAATAGTTTCACTTTAGCAGAACTTAAACCCATAGATTAGTTCTAACTAAATAGATTATAACACCTCAAGCAACTTTTATAAGTAATAACATCTACTTTACAAAGTGAAAGCTTAATAGAAAAGAAGAAAATAAATGAGTCCCAAGAAGTGATTTAATGGGTCAGACAATAAAACCGCCTTCAGAGGTCTGGAAAACCAAAGACTATATTTTCAAGGGACAGAAAAGGGTCTAGTAGCATTAACCCATCATGCTTCATTTTTATTATTTTACATGAACTTTAATATTTTCTCACAAACCAGTTGTTTCAATAAATACAACACCAGCAACAAAAAATTCCTGAAACGTTGAAATTACCTTGGGGTCAAATTATTTCTTATGAAATGGTAACCCTGGGAGAAATCATCCATATCCATAATTTTATGAAAACTATTAAGGTACTAAAATTTTATGTGTGTGAGGTTGTATCTCACTGTGGTCTGTACTGAAGAGGCACCTGACAGAGAAGAACATAATGTTGTATGTACTCTATCTCCTGGAATAATTTCTTAGTCCATATTTATTATCAGGATAGAAAACTTAATTAAGCTTTGGTATTTGTCCAGATTGCTATGTCTCAATTTTGGATTCAGGGCCTGCAAAACAAGTTGCCTCATTGCTATTAAAAACAGAATGAAACAAATGCTATTTGGAGGCAATCTATTCTGTTCAACAAGAGGATGGAAAACACCGTCGAGGACACAGAAAGTAAATGCATAGCAGGAATGCTTCTATACTTTCTCTCTTACCAGCAAGGAAAAGTACATATTCGTTTAGGAGTGTTGGTTATAAACATGTGAGAATGACAGAAAAATGTGAAAAAAAAAATCTTCCTAGGTCTTTGTCTAAAACTCAAATGAAGCCAGACTTCTCTGGAGTCTCCCAAAATTGTCTGGCTGCTATAAGCATTTGCAACAGTGAATGAAAAGAGAATTTCAAATGGGTCGTTTAGTAGAATTAACATTGATGATCTTGCAACCTTCTGGAAGACCTCCCTGACTAGGCTCTTTCCCTCCAGCTGCCAAGGGCTTTGAAAAATTGAGGCCTTGCATATGTTCCTGATGATCAAATTTAGGTGCATCTAATAGCTGTCCACCTGCCTGCAGCCACCACTGAGACCATAAGCATCATGAATGCTGTTGGGACAATTTCTCATGCTTGCCATTGGGTTTGATTTCAGTAACTAGCATAGTGCATGACATGAAGCAAGCTCACAATCACCATCTGTTCGATTAAACTAAATTAAGAGGTACATGAACATGTTCAATTTAAAATCTAGGCAGAATATCATAAATATTTTAACAACAACATTCAAGTAGGATTCTATGACAGTTTTTTTTTTTTTTAATCTCCACTATAAGGAAGCATAAAGCTTTACTTAAATTTAATTAAAAGGCCATGACTAACCTTTAGCCATACATGCCTTACCTGGACAATAACTGGATAGCCACAAACTTCATTTCTAGTCTTGGTCATAGACACTGCCAGCACAAGGTCAGGGTTACTCACCAGGTGAAAAGTCCTTGGGAAACAGGATTAGTCACATTACAAAGTAGCATGACCAGATTAGACACCCTCTGTGCCACTTAGCAGTGTGTTGCCTCTCAGCTCCATGCATGCTCTGTAATAATGAATGTGAATCCTTTAAGAATTTCTTCCCTACAGTAAGTGTGATGTTAAGCTTTCTCAGTAGAGAGTGCTGGAAGAAGACTGCAAGATGAAGGGGCTCTCCTGCTCTTTCTGGCTGTGACATGGGGTCAGCGGTTGGGAGTGAGAATATCCAATGATGCTCTGCTCCAGCCAGGTACCCAGGACACAGGTCTCCTGGCACCTTCACAGCCTGGGCTTGCCTATTGCTCCTTCGCTCACTGCCCATCTGACAGGCAGTAAATTGGGGGATATATACTCGTGTGCATTACATATGTATATAATATATATCATTGACATGGACACCACATGCTTCAGCACCCCATTCCCTCTGCATGCTGGTGTACCCACTGCATCCCCCTATATGTTCCAGAGGATTACATCCTGTGCACCCAGTGTTATGGTTTGAATGCCCCTTCAAAAATCATTTTGAAACTTAATTCCCAATGTGGCAGTATTAACAAGTGGAGTCTTTAAGAGGTGATTGGATCCAGAGGGCTCTGCCTAGATTAATTCATTCATAGATGAAAGGTATAATGGATTAATGGGTCATAATGGGAATGAAACTAGTGGTTTTATAAGAAAAGGTATGTGACATGATGTTCTGTGCTATATGATGCCCTGTGCTGTATAATGACCTGTGCCATCTCAGGACTCTAGAGTCCCCAGCAGCAAGAAAACTCTCACCAGATGTAACCCTCAACAGAACTTTCCAACCTCTAGAACTGTAGGAAATAAATTTCATTTCTTGTAAATTACCCAATTTCAGGTATTCCTTTTTTGTTTTTTGAGACAGAGTCTTGCTCTGTCACCCAGGCTGGAGTGCATGATCTCAACTCACTGCAACCTCTACCTCTCAGGCTCAAGTGATTCTTCTGCCTCAGCCTCCCGAGTAGTTGGGACTACAGGCATGTGCCACCATGCCCGGCAAAGTTTTTGATTTTTAGTAGAGACTGGGTTTCACCATGTTGGCCAAGCTGGTTTCAAATTTCTGACCTCAGGTGATCCTCCCACTTTCACCTCCCAAAGTGGTGGGATTACAGGTGTGAACCACCATGCCCAGCCCAGTTTCAGGTATTCTGTTATAAGTAACAGAAAATAAACTAGACACCCAGCCACCACAGACAAGTTCTGGCCAGGCACACAAGCAAAATTTCTCTGCCATTCAGTGGAATGGAACCATACATTTTCTAATGAGTCCTGAACCCCAGCATTGGGGAGGGGACCCCATTGCAAGTTTATCCTTTCTTAGGCAATCTCTAGGGTGATATGTATCATATACATATGTAATGCACATGAGTATATATCCCCTAATTTACTGCCTGGGTACAATGCGGAGGGTAAAAAGACTGTGGTTAACATAAATGGAATTTTCTACTGAGTTCTACTACATAGTGTAACCCATGGTTCTCTAGGTTTCACCAACTTATCCAAACAAATGGGTTTTAAAAGCCACCCATTTATATGAAAGAGAACAAAGCAATATGCTAAGGGAAACTGTGCAGTAAAGCTCAGAACTACTGCCACTGTGCAAACACACTTCTGCCATGGGACGTATATTGTTCTAAATCATGCCCACACCTAATCAACAAGACTTCTGCAAAACCTCTCTTGTCCAAGTCTATCTGAGTGTCCCTAGAGCGTGACTTGCACTCATGAGCAAATCCTGTCCCACTGATGCTCCACCTTTTCTCTCTGGACTCTCATGTTTCCAATGAGGGACCAACCAATCCAACATCTGCCTTCCACTAACCGACTCTCTTTTCCGTGGCTTGACATGAGGAGCTCCCAAGATGACAAAGGTACAGAATATTCTGCAACATGGGAGGTCTCTGAAAGAAACAGTCCTTCTCTTTTGTGTTACAGATGGTTAGATTTTCCAAGGCAGTGCTGCACATGACTCAATATTTCACAGAGTTTTAGGCAAACTTATCTGTTCTGTTTTTCCTTAAAGTCTTCTCCTTCTCCTTCTTTCTCCACAGCAGTCATAATGAAAGGGGAAAACACACACACACACACACACACACACACACACACACACACACACACTGACAGACACTGAGCAAGATTCAGAACTAGTATTCTCTTCCAGCGACCAAGTATTCCTGGGTCAAACTCGTTATGCATGGCTTTCTCTTGCCATAGGGTCACAGCTCTCATTCCCCATGCATGTCCACTCAAATTCATCAGCCATGCTCAAATTCCACTTTAGGTTTAAGATATATTGGTAAATACAATGCAGAAATGAGAAAACACTGGGATGTCAGCTCCATAAGGGTAAAGATTTTTTAATCTGTTTTGTTCTTTGTAAAGCAACAGCTCCTAAAACACTGCCCTCAGTAACCCTTGCCAGCTGAATGAATGAATTCTGGTTCCATATGGCAAACTATTAACAGAAACAAAAACCTGCTATCCTACCTCCACATTACAAAGGCAGCTTAGCCCAGGTGAATGAGCTAAAGAAACACTTTCACCACGTCTATCTACACGGTTGGTTTTCCCGTCTTTTCTAACACCAGCCCAGCAGGTTTTCCCTGCTGGAGGCTTTGCTCATCTGCCGTGAGCAGGGTAAGACCAGCTCTTCTCCTGCCTACGCAGGGCCCGCTGCTGCCGCCTGCTGAAGCTTGTGCAACCTCCCTCAACGCACTGATTCATAAGCCTTTTCATCGCAGACCTTTTGAGAATCCAGGGAAAATCACAGCTCTTTCCCAGAAAAAAAATAAATCGCACAGATGCACAAACATACATTTTGTACACTATTTCAAGAAACCAAAGAGGCCCCTGGAGACTCACCATATCACACTAATGGTAGAATTTGAAGCAAAACAATCTAAAAAACAGGGGATTATTTTCTTTTTTGTTAGATTAAAGAGATGTTCAATATGCACCAAAAAGAAAGAGAAATGTGTAATCAATCAGCATGAACCTAACAGTTACCAATATTCTGCCATTCTTGTTCCATCCATTTCCCTCAACTTCTAAAATTTTTATTTATAATAGAATGTCTGACAGCAAATCTAAGATAGCTTTTAATTTTATCCGTAAATGCTACAATGTGTATCCAACTTATCAGGACTTTTTTAACATAACCATTAAACCATGATTGCACGCAAGAAAATTAATAAGACATCCTTAATGTCATCAGATAGCCAAGCTGTTTATATGTTGCCTGATTATCTCAAAAATAACGTTTTTACAGTACTGTAGTTGGTTTGAATTTAGATCCAGGACCAGATATTAAATTAGGTTGATATATTTGCTACGAGAGAAATTAGTTTATACTATGCGAGTGGAAACCACAAATTGGTTATTTTATGAAGGTGGAAGAGAGAGGGAAGGTGTATGTTGAGGGAAGGATGGGGAGTAAGTTAACGAAAAGTATCAAAAAACTTGAAAATTGGGGGCTTTTTAGGATTCTTTTTTTATTATACTTTAAGTTCTAGGGTACATGTGTGGAACGTGCAGGTTTGTTACATAGGCATACACATTCCGTCTCTTCATTGCATAAAAATAAAATTAATGAGAGTTCAGTCTTGAGCCCAATGGCCAGATGAAACTGTGTACCCAGGAGATGAGAGCAAACATTCCTTCTCTGAATCTGATTGTGAATAAATTGTATGTAGCTTACCTAGCATTTACATTTGATTTTATTCCCTTCCTCTTCTTTGGCTAGGATAAAGAATTATCAGCTAAGTTAAATAGAAGACCCATAACTCTTAAATAAAGTTCTGCTTGCTCTGTGTCATGCCAGACTTATTAGGCTCCTATTTACCTTTTGATATATTAAACCCACTTATGATGGGATTACCTGCTGTCTTCCTTGTGTATCCAGCGCTGATGACTACTATCAGATTTCTTCTCCATCAAAACCACCTCCATGCCTGACCGGAGATTGGGACCGTGAACACCCAAGACTAGCTGAGGAGCAGCATGGCTTATAATCTGCCCATCTCTGTATTCGAACTGCTGATGGCAAAGCTTGTGCAATTTACTATGCTTTGGTGAACAGCTGAGATAAAGAAACCTCCATTAGTGGCAGAAAAACGTCCCATGCACTTGATGTGCTAGAGATTGTGAGTTCTGTTGGTGAGAGCTCCACTGTGAACCACGTTAACTTGAAGTGACAGACCTTATCATTAGAATGACAGCAATGCTACTAGCACTGCACTTCTAAGCTGACATAAGAAGTAGAATTCTGACCTCATTTTGTATCAGAAATAAACGTTTACCAGGAGAACATTTGAAAAATTCATTAGAAAAAAGAAAAGAACTTCAGTTAACAAGGTAATGTAAAGATGAAAAGGTGAAATTTAAAATTAAGTAAGATAATGGGGGCAGGAGCATGTAGAATCAAAACAGAGAAATAAAGAAATTCTGTTCAAACTATGATTGTTTCTGTCCTCTATCTATGGTATCCCTGGAAATGGAACACCATTCTCCAAGTTTTTCACTCACCTTTAATAATTCATAGAATATTATAAAATAATGATGTACCAATAATCTAAATGACTCTCTTGCTTAAGGATCTTGCAACATTAAGCAGAATTAACATATTATATATCACAACACACTGTAAATTAAATTAATCTATAAACATCTGTTAAGCTCCTACTATGTGGATGGCCTAGTGCTAAATGTTGAAGTGTCAGAAACATTTAATTCACATGTTCCAGTAACTGCTGTAATGTCAACTAATTGTCTAAAGATTATGGAATAATACAAAGTACTATATATTCCTGTCATTTCATTGGACATTGACAAAAAAATTAAACTAAAAAGGAAGAAACTTCATTTTATTAATTTCTTAAAGACATCAGGGCATCTTAAATGTTTATTTATAAGTTCACTCACACAGTCATTCAACAAATATACAGGGTGTGTGCTAAGTTTTCAGAAGGCAAAAGTGGATAAGAATAATGTTTAATAGAAAAAAACACACAAATGAGTAAGTTATTATACTGCACTGAACAAAATAAATCAAAGGGTAAAGGACCTTCCCACAAAATTTTGTAAATATTTTCATCAAAAACATAAGACAAAAATGTTCATGTTGATAGAAACAGCAGCTAACAGCAGCAGTGCAAACTCGTAGGAATATATGTGTCCTAAGGTGAGAGAACTAACAGGAGACAGAAATCTTTAACAGGAACCCTTTGTAACTTTTTACCTGTATTTCTTCTGTGGTTCCACATTTTCAAAGAGCCCTTTTTCCATTTTCTTTGGAAGACTGTCATCATCCTCATCAAATTCATGCAAAGTTTCCTGCCAGGCATACCTGAGAAGTGTGTCACAAGCCTTCATTCGAAGATGGGCTCTGGCGTGCGAATCTCTATCAAGGTTCAGAAGCAAACACAAGTCTAAGAATTCTGCTTTGTGTTCACATAATTTTTTTCCTGAGGTGTAGGCTAAGCACATTCCGCAGGATGTTGCTGGATCTATCAATCTTATTTCCATAAGGGTGCCTAATGTTTGAAATTCACATCTTACTAATACATCATTTCGATCTTTTAATATAAGTCTACAAATAAAATCCCCCAAGCACATAATAAACAGCATTCTTCTTTGTCATGTTTACCCAGAAAAAAATGGGACCACATATTATATTTCAAAAAACATGAAGAGTGACTACTCAGTAGTTTGAGAAATTCATAATGAACATGTAATGAGACTCCTGTCTACCCCATAATTGGGTCATAATTCTGACTGGAACAGTATAGCCTAGATTACTCAGTTTTGTAGAGTTTACTCATTAGACAAGGTTAAGAAATCTTAACTTTTCTAAGATTTCCCCACAGATAAATCTAGAGAGAATCAAATAGCATCTGCTCACATGCATCAACTTTTGAGAGATGATAATATACTAAACAGGGTACACAGTTATCATTTGAATACTTGGGTCAGCCTTCTGGCTTCTTGTTAAAACGAAGATATAAAGGGAAGCAGCAGCAGCCATACAGATCTGCATATACAAAGTTCCAAGCCACTGTTGAGAGCACATTTGCCTTGAGTGGGATCATGATATGCAGAATGCTTGACTGAGGAAGAATGAACACACAGGCAAAGCAACAAGCCTATTTCGGCACTCTAAATACGCATACCTGTAAATAAAGTTCTCTGGGAAAGGCTGATCTCCAAGGTGCTTGTGATAATTTGATGTAACTACAAGCATTATTAAATTACCAAAATTTTCAGGGACAATTCCTGTGCTAGCAGAGCTGACCGTACTCTTTTCAAATGTAATAGAAGTATTGTACGTGGATATGCAACTGGTGGGTAATGACTGCCTCATTCAGAACTGCAGGCAGCACAAGCGGCTTCTCAAGGCGAAACTCTCCCTTTACAGTTAAAAAACAACAGTGCCATCTTGTGTTAAAAATAAAAACCACAGCTTCCTCATCAGTTCCATTTCTTTGAGGAAAAGAAAAAAAAAAAATGTCTTTCTTGGTTTTAACAAAGTTAGCAAAATGCAAACAAGATTCTTCACTCAAATCCAGATGTTTAATTTTCTTACTCAGAATTTCTCTATGAGCTCTTGAACTTCCTGGCAAATGAGGTATTGTCGTCAGTTTTATAACAGGCATTTTTTAAGTCCATCTTGCTTTATTAATTGTTTTTTCATAGAACAAATCTTTCATTAGTTATTACTTTAATCAATATTTATTGAAAATCTATAAGATGGGTAAGTTATCAGTGCTCATGGAGTTACATTCTAGTAGGAAGAAAAGAGACAAGTAAATGAATAAACAAGGTAAATGCCGTAAGTTGAAGAAAATAGGATATTGTGATAGAAATTGACTGGGATTGGGTGAGGTTTACTTTAGCAATGGGGTCAGAGAAGGCTTCTCTAAGAGGTGAATTGAGATATAGAATACAGGAAGAAGCCAGCCACGTGAGAATCTAGACGGAGAGCATTCCAAGAAGAGAAAAGAACAAATGAAAGGGCTATGGAGCAAGATTATGGTTACCCCATTTGGAGAACAGAAAGACACTGGTGTGACAGGTATGCAGTGAGTGAAGGGATAGTAGTTCTAGAAGAGGCTGAAGAGGTAGGCAGGCACCTGTGATTCAGTGAGGAAATGAGAAAGTTTCCCCCACTCTCTATGTTCCCAAAGTCTTTTTTTCCTGCAAAGCACAAAAATGGTAGGCAAGTATCACCAGAATTTCTTCTCCCTTTTCTTATTGTTTGTGCCAGACAACTTTATGATTAAAAAAAAAAGGCAGGGGGAGTGGGGAGGGGATCAAAAAGGTTTCTTCTAGATTGATGTTCTAGCTGCTGGCGTTATGGATGTTCCTCCTTAAATCATCCCAATTTTCAAACAGGCAAAAACCTCCAAACAAGCTCATTTAAGAAAGTCTAGGAAAATGTTACAGAGACTTCCTAATATAAGATGATTTCAGATGATTTCAGGATCATGTCATCAGAAATGATTCAAAAGACTAGTGACAGCATGGAAAATAGATAACCCAGTGTATTTAAAGATATTCCAAGTAGTTTAAGGGCTGTCAAGCAGAAGAGGAATAGGGCATAGTACAGAGAAATACATGAAATCATAAGATGGAGATGGTCTAAATAATTATTTAAACGTTAGAATGGCCCTCCTTGAAAACAGTGATCTCTCTGTTAGTAGGAGTATTCAAGAAGAGGCTTGAACCAAAGAGCCTGTTTGGAATATGCAGGAAATGCCTGCGTTGTGCTCTGAGCGAACCCAATCACTTTTACCTCAAGGACTCCAGGCCTTCATGAAATCTCTGATTCAGAACAATGAGGATCTTTGCTCTCAAAAATGTTTCTCTTTTTTTCTTTCTGTTTATTTTTTTTCCAAGTGTAAACTAAATTACTCAGAGGCTAGATGATACACTCTTTAGAAGGGGATGTGAAAGTTTGTGGTCAGTTCCCTGACTGTTGAGAAGGATATTATCTAGGACTAATTATTCTCTTTGAAAGACGCCTTCTGGTGCCTTTGTTAGTGTCAGTCATAGGACCAAATGAATCACCCATCAAAATGAGAAAGTTTGGTTCCTAAAATAAAAGTTCACATTCTTACAACTGAAGATAGAAAGAGTTCATAACGATGATATATAAATTATTTTCACAATTATTACAGTGGTAATTGCTCAAGTACTTTTGGTTTTATAAGTTGGAAACACATGCAATCTCTCCTTTGTTTATTTGGTAAATGATGATTAGAACCCATGTGACAGAGTCTTTGCTCTCAACAGTTCCCAGGTTGGTAGAGGGAGGGGTAGGCAAGAGGGAGAGGAACTGACAAGTACTTTGCCACTACAATCATTGCTGTAATTGACTTCAATGCTAAAGAGTTATTCTACAGATAAGTAAGGGGCAAGTAAAGGCACTGCAGGTGGAGAGAAATTAATATGTGGCTTGGAGGTCTGCAACAGAACATAAACGAAATATGCAATACGCAGGCAACAGTTTTTTGTTGCTCAGCTGGAGGTTGGAATTCACGTGGCAGAAAGAGACATTGACCATGGGAATGCAAATGAAGGTCAATGACAGGCATAAATGAGGGTCAGAAGGGTTTGGGATTCCAGAAGAGTAAGTTTTTCTGTCTGCAATAGGTAGCCATTAAAAAACTATGTGAAAAGCATGGTGCCTTAGAAAGTTAATTGTCTCCAGTTTAACTTAAAGGGGAACTGGAAGATATTATGGCAATAGAAAGCAATCAGAAAGCTATTTCAATGATCCAGAATGATAACTGTATATTTACATGTGTCTAACTTGAACTTGTTAGGGAAGAAGCTTGGTTGATCCTGAAGTTTATAGAAATGAAACTTGATGAATTCCTCAAATAAATGTCTACAATCCTAAAATTCTAGCCTTTTAAAAATAATAACATTATAATAATATTATGGAAAGTAGATCACTGTGATGGTTGAACACTGAAGCTGTAGTTGTATCATTTTGCCAGAAAACTAATTAAATACTAGTTCTTCACCTGCCATCAGTTTCACAAACTTGGCATGAGTTCCCTGCATGGGCTTTGTGCTGTTATCAGGCTAATGAGCTGAGTTCAAAAAACAGCCAGGTAGCTATACTGATTACTTACAGAATTTCACTAGAAGCATTTTCTGTTGTTAAAGTATCTTTTTGCACTTGCTTTTCTTCTGGTTCTGCAACCTGCTTCTCATCTCCAAAAACTGCTATAGGTTTATGCACCACAAGCTTGCTTCCAGATACAATGTCATTTTGGACTTCTAAAACAAGAGCTGAGCAGAAGTTCAAAAATTGCAAGGACATATTAATTACAATTGCAGAGCATCAGGAATTTGAAAACACATACTAAAATACAAATGCAAAAAATTTCCATGTATTTGATCTATTCATAGGCTACTTATTAAACTCAGTTTAATTTTAATTTTTGTAGATTCTTTACTCTCAAGATATTCTTAGTTAAAAATGCTAAAAATAGGTCTTGCCAAAAATCAGTTAGTTATTCTATATTGTAATTATTCAAATGGGCTGCTTTATTTAGATACATGTTTCTAGATCATTCTCTGGAATCCAAAACTCATCGGTGGATGTCCCAGTCCTAGTGAAAGCCTTGAACAACATATGCAAAGCTTTACTGTACAATGTTCGATGTACATAATAGGGCAGTGTTTTAAATCACACCATTTTTTTTCCTCTTTTCATTTTCTCTACATGGATTTTCATCCTAGTTCCTAGATAAACCTTAAAGGAAGGAGAGGATCATGAGGAAATTAGAACTTTTATAAAAGAAAAGCGAAAGTCCAAAATAGTTTTTGACATTCAAACAGCATACTGCCGTCAGCCTTGGAAGTCAGTATGATACAGTCATGATCTATAGTTTCTCCAAAAGCCTGTAGCTCCCACTTAGTGTATCAACGGTTTAACTTCAGGGTTGACCTGGAGCAAAACCACCATTTCTGGGCCGAAGAGGATTTGGGGCACAAGACAGAGCATGCCAGAAAACTGGCACGGGGTATCTTGATTGTCTCTACAGGCTTCACTTTGGGTATCTTAGTTAAACAGGGGAAACCATGAGAATATTGCCCATTGTTCAGGACACTGTGATGATGTCACCTTTCAAGCTACCCTTCCTACTTTAATCTGAGGCACAGCCAGCCACGTGAACTGGGATCTGGTTTCTGGGAGGTGCTGCTAGGACCCCAGAGTTGCTGAGAATCTTGTTGGGGAGATTTCCAGAAAGGGATGTCAAGCAGGGGTGAGGTGCCTCTGTAGCAAGGACTGCAGAGATGACTGCTCAGTCATAGCCAGGCTCCAGAGGGCCACAGGAAGCAGAGAGAAGGCTGAGTGAGGAAGGAAGCACGCCCACCCAGAGTACTGTCTGATCCAAAAGAACAAACCACGAGCCACTTCAGCCACAGACCTCAGACAGCAGAGCCCAGGAAGCAAGAAGATCTGCATCCCAAGTGCTTTCTATCTTAGAGAGGAACTTAAAGTGAGAGTCTGGAGACTGAGAAATCTAAAGCTCTCTCTAAAGGGACTAATTAAATTAATGGATGGAACAAAATATAAACATGACTGGAGAATACATGAGGCTCGCAAAGAAGATCAGATCTGTTAACAGCAATGTTAACATGTAAACATGATTGGAGAACACATGAGGCTCATGAAAAAGATCAGATCTGTTAACAGCAAAATAAAATTACATTTTCTTTACACATCCAAACTACAGTGTGAACTAAAATACTCAAACATGTCAAACATATAAGCTAAAGAGTTAAACAGCAAGATGCAGAGGTGAAATATGACCTGTTTAAACAAACTTTGACTTTTTTAAAAGCAATATCATCAAACATTTCATTTTGGCTGCATATACTAAGGGAAATAATTCCAATGCTTACCTTCTATTTTACGTGTGCTGCAGAAGATTTGAATTTTGGAAATGTCTGATACTAGGTTCCTCAGGAAGATTTGTTTCTTTTGCTTAGCAATGAACAGGTCAGGATTGATCCAATGTTCTCCACATGAAACATACACCTATCAAACAAAGCATCTCTTATCCTGTATATAATTGTCACAGCAGCATTATTTGTAATAATCAAAATGGGGAACAATAAAAAAAGTCTTATTAGTATAATAGGTGAATGATTAAAGAAAACTGTGGTGCCATGGAATACCACTCAGTACTTTCAAAAAAATCAAACTGTTGATAAAGGCAACAAGCTCTGATGAATTTCAAGAGTTTTGTACTAAGTGAAAAACTGTCTTTGTATCTTACCTTATTATTTTTGCAACATTCTGTGAATCTATAATTATTTCAAAATAAAAGTTTTAAAAAAATACTTGTTTAAGAAAAAGGGAGAAGGAAGGAAGAAAAGAGAAAGGAAGGGAATGAAAGAGGGAAGGAGGCTGAAAGAAAGGGAGAAAAGAAAGGAGCAAGGGAGGGAAGGAGGGTGAGAGGGAGGAAGAGATGAAAGAAGGAAGGAAGGAGTAAATAGAGATTGGCTAAATTAGAGATGGCAAACTATCCCTAAAATGCAAATCTGGTCTGCTGCCTGTTTTTGTGAGTAGAGTTGTATTAGAACACAGCTATGCCCATTCATTTACATGTTGTCTATGGCTGCTTTCATGCTTCAGGAACAGAGCTGATGTCCAGTAGGCACCATATCGTCCACAAAACCTGCAATATCTACTATCTGATCCTTTATAGAAAAAGTTTAATGACCCCTGGTATAAACGAATTTGTAGTACAAACATCAAGATGTCAAAACATCAAAATGTCAATGTGGATAGTTCAGGTGACAAGATTATGGATGACAATTTTCCTCCTTTGTTTATATGTATTTCTTAAATGTCCTTAAATGGATAAATATTTCTTTAAAGATGAGAAAAGAAAGTGATATATTGAGAAAGACTCAGGAAGAAGAAAGAGAACCTCAGTGCTGCCTTTTCTGATCATTACATACTCATTATTACAAATATTCTGTGTATGAAGACCCAGAGGAAACTTTTCAAAAAAAAAAAAAAACTTTTTTTTTTGAGATGAAGTCTCACTCTGTAACCCAACCTAGAGTACAGTGGCACAATCTCAGCTCACTACAACCTCTGCCTTCAGGGCTCAAGTGTTCTCATGCCTCAGCCTCCCGAATAGCCTGGATTATAGGCACCCACCATCATGCCCGGCTAATTTTTTGTGTTCTAGTAGAGGTGAGGTTTCACCATGTTGTTCAGGGTGGTCTCAAACTTCTGAGCTAAGGCTACCTGTCCAGCTCGGTCTCCCAAAGTGCTGGGATTACAGGCCTGAGCCACCACACCCAGCCAAAAATTTCTTCTTTTGAACAACAGGTTTCTTTTTCTCTTGTGGACATATTTAATCATGTAACTAACTGTTTGTTTCCATCTTCATGTTACTCTTCAGAGCAGTGACAGATTAATTTCTAGCAAATATACAATCACTCCTGGCTCCATCTTATCCTCCTTCCACTCACTCTCACTTTGCCATGGTGGCCTCATTTAGACTTAATATTAAATTAATTTTTTGTATTGTATGATTTAATGTAATCTACCTTAAATTCATTAATTAAAAACACACAGTGATTAGCATAGCAGCACAAACAAAAACAGTAAAAACAAAAGCACAAAACACTTGAAATAGATGGCATTAAGATTCAAAATGAGACTTAGCAGCCTCTGAGAACAATAGACTCCTCATCCTGCCATGCCGCCTCTGATACTGGCCATTGATACTTCTGTTTAAGACTCTCCAGGGGCCGGCTGCGGTGGCTCAAGCCTGTAATCCCAGCACTTTGGCAGGCCAAGGCGGGTGGATCACGAGGCCAAGAGATCGAGACCATCCTGGTCAACATGGTGAAACCCCGTCTCTACTAAAAATACAAAAAATTAGCTGGGCATGGTGGCACGTGCCTGTAATCCCAGCTACTCAGGAGGCTGAGGCAGGAGAATTGCCTGAACCCAGGAGGTGAAGGTTGCGGTGAGCCGAGATGGCGCCATTGCACTCCAGCCTGGGTAGCAAGAGTGAAACTCTGTCTCAAAAAAAAAAAAAAAAAAAAGAAAAGAAAAGAAAAAGACTCTCCAGGGGTTTTAGGTTCAGAGCCTGAGTTGAGTTCTGATGAAATGGTATGAGCTTTGTTTTCTGTTCAAAGAATTGTTGGCATCAGTCAAGGAAGGGTTTTTGCTGTTGTTTTTGTGTTTTTGTTTTTTATTTTATAAACTGATGCCTCAAATTCTATAAATGGGGGGAAAGGATGAGCTGCTAAAGTCCTTATGCTTTTCCACCTTCTCCAGTCACCCATATAAAGTATGTAAAAAAGTAGGCATAATTTTTTCCTGAAAAAATGAAATTATCATTTAGTAAGAAATCATTAAACAACTACATTTTGAAGCTCTCAAAAAGAGTATTTACTTCCTTCAGAGCAGGAGATAGAAATTGCAAATGATTAATAATTTGGCTTTCTCCAGTTTCTTCCTTAATTTCTAGAGTCTAGGCTTGTGATGAAGTAGATTAATTCACCCAGGCGTGGTGGCTCACACTTGTAATCCCACCACTTTGGGAGGCTGAGGTAGGTGGATCGTCTGAGCTCAGGAATTTGAGACCAGCCTGGGCAACATGTTGAAATCTGTCTCTAGCAAAAATACAAAAAATTTTCCAGGTATGGTGACACATGCCTATAATCCCAGCTACTCCAGAGACTGAGGTGGGGAAATTGCTTGAGCATGGGAGGCGGAGGTCACAGTGAGCTGAGATTGTGCCACTGCACTCCAACCTGAATGACACAGTGAAACCTCATCTCAACAACAACAACAACAAAAAAAACCCCACAAAGATTAATTTATATACCACTCTGAAAACCATGCCAGACACATAAGAAGCTCTCAACAATATTAGCTGTTAGTGTTACTTTCTGATGCTTGCTCAGTTAGAATAATTCAGAAAGAAAATAAGAATTACAATGGTAAGCATCTGAAGATTTATATTTAAGGGGATTCTTTCTTGGATGGGGTATTCATAAATTAATATTGCCAGTTTCAAATCCATGTCTTTACCAGTTCATCTCTTTGCAAGTCTTTTAAGGCAAATATTTCCTTCCCCTTTTCATTGAACAATCTCCGAGCTGCAGAAGGTAAATTTAAAATCTCAGTGCACCTGTAATAAAAGACACAAAATTGTTCTTGATACAGAAAGGTTCCAGCAGCAAAGCGAGAAAATTTTAAAAAATCAGGGGCCTGAATCCTTAATGGCAACTCTCTCCTAGGGACTGTTAGTCATAAGTTGGACTCTGGGGCCCGTCAGACCCATTTGAGTCTCATTTTCCTCTCCAAATTGTGGCACTTGGGAAAATTATTTAACCATCTAAGGCTGGATTTCTTACCTTCCAGGGTTTCTGCGAAGATTAAAGGTTGATTTTGAAAAGGGCTCTTAGCACAGTGCCAGACATGACCAATAAATAGGTAGACACATTGCTACTGACTTTTCGTTCTTCAGTATGCCCCACACTTTCCTATTTCAGTGCCTGTGTTCTTTCACCTACCTAAAACAAATCTTTGGCTTTTTCTGTTGCAGTTTTGCTCTTTCTCCAAGGTTGTCAAAGTCAAATTTGTCATCAACTTCCTCATCTCCCTCTACCAGAAGTGATGACCATAGCCCTTTAACTACTTTTGAAAAAGAAGTTTTTAGCCTGGTTAAACATTAAACATTGATTTCCCACTCCCACAACCCCCTGCCCTCCCAAACAAGCACTGGACTTGTGGATACTGAGATGAATGACAGTTTCGTGGTTCCCTGAGGAGCTCCCAATCTGGTCAAGGTAGAGAAAGGTCAGCAACTTAAGTTTAATATGAAGTCACGGGTGCTGCTATAGGCACCTACCAGTGTGCTATCAGAACAGAGGAGAAGACAATTAATTTTCCCAGGGAAGCCTTATCTAAGGGAGTGACATTGGGTTGGATTCTAACACATATTCTTGCTAAATATGTTTTGTGTTAGAATGTACTGTTCATGCCCCTTCCCAGCCTGCACCCCAGACGACCCGCACCCTAGACGACCGGCACCCCGGGCCTGAGGGCTCAGGCTTCGCCGCGGCCCCTGAACCTAGGACCGTGGCCTCAGGTGCGTGGCATCGCGCAGGGGCCGGAAGGGGCCTATGGGGACTCCGCGCTGCCTTGCGCCGCCTGCGGATTCCTCGGAAAGGGCACCCTCAAAAACCGAGGACGCTTCTCCCCTTCCACTCTGTTCCCCATCGCTGAAAGTTCCTGAGGCTGAGAAGTCTAAGCACGTTCAGTTGTCTGATGAGGGTCTGGTCTCTGCTTCTGGGATGTTGCCTTGAACCCTTTGTCATCCAGAGAGGAGGAATGCCATGTCCTCACATGGCAGAAGAGGAATACAGGGAAGATGGCCGCCTAAGAACAGCTCAGGACTTCAGCTCCCAGTGAAGGTGCAGAGGGTGAGTGGACACCGCATTTCCAGACGAACTCTTATTGCCCACAGACCAGGAGATACCCAGGCAGAGGGGTCGCCAGCGTCGCAGTCCCAGCCGGTGTGGCTGTTTTGGCCCCCGCGGGGCTGATTCCGCCCGCGCGGCTGCTGTGACCACTCCCTGTTGCTGCGGTTTTCCGTACAAAAGCCACTGGTCTGGAAGCCCTCTTAGCTGGCGAACAGAGCCCTGAGACGGCAGAGTTGCCCATCCATCTGAAATAGCAAGTCAGGCCAGGAGATTCCTAGGCAAAAAATCCGCCAGGAGCCGGCGCCACAGTTCGAGCCGACTCCGTGAGTCGCAGCACGGGAGATCCCGGTGCCTTTTCAGCAGGCGACCGGAACGGGGGTCATTCAACTTAAAAGACTCTGAGTCAGGGAGCCAGGTGATCAGGCTCGGTTGGTCCCACCCCTCCACCCCCAACAACAATGAAAACAAAAACAGTAATTGGAAACCCTCTGGGTTGAGCCCTCCAAACCAAGCACAGCTGAACCAGGACGGTCCGGCTCCGTGGGGGAGGGGCTTCCGCCATTACTGAGACTCTCCACTGCTACGGAGGCAGGCTGCCATTGCCGGAGGCAACACGCCGTTGCCGAGGCAACCTGCCACAACAGAGAGAGTCCACCATAACAGAGGCGGGGCCACTGTTGCCAAGACAGTTCTATCTACGCCCATATAAAAAGGACTACAGGGAAGAGCTCAGGGCAGCTGGGCGGAGCCCACAGCAGCTCAGCAAAACCCCTGTGGGCAGGCAGAGGCTAGGCCTGCTGCTAGCTGGGCGGGTCAGACCTGAAAGAAAAATCAAAAAAGGCAGTAGTGCAACGGAAACTCATAAAGCTCCAACTCCCTGGGACAGAGACAGACAACAGGTGGATAAACCCGCAAAAATGGGAAGAAACCAGCGCAAAAAGGATGAAAACTCCCGAAACCAGAACACCTCTCCTCCTAAAAGGGATCACAACTCCTCACCAGCAAGGGAACCAGACCGGATGGAGAAGGAGGGTGATGAAATGACAGAATCAGACTTCAGAAGGTGGGTAGTAAGAAACTACAATGAGCTAAAAGAACATGTTCTAACCCAACGCAAAGAAAATAGGAACCTTGAAAAAAGATTGGACGAACTGCTGACGAGAATGGACAGCATAGAGAGGGGTATAAGTGAATTGATGGAGCTGAAAAACGCAACACGAGAACTTCGTGAAGCATGCACAAGCTTCAACAGCCAAATTGACCAAGCAGAAGAAAGGATATCAGAGGTCGAAGATCAACTCAATGAAATAAAAAGAGAAGGCAAGAACAGAGAAAAAAGCACAAAAAGGAATGAACAAAATCTTCAAGAAATGTGGGACTATGTGAAAAGACCTAATCTACGTCTGATAGGTGTACCTGAATGTGATGAAGAGAATGAATCCAAGCTGGAAAATACTCTTCAGGATATTATCCAGGAAAACTTCCCCAACCTAGCAAGGCAGACCAATATTCAAATCCAGGAAATACAGAGAACACCACAAAGATATTCCTCAAGAAGAGCAACCCCAAGGCACATAATCGTCAGATTCACCAGGGTTGAAATGAAAGAGAAAATGCTAAGGGCAGCCAGAGAGAAAGGTCGGGTTACCCACAAAGGGAAGCCCATTAGAGTCACAGCAGATCTCTCAGCAGAAACCCTACAAGCCGGAAGAGATTGGGGGCCAATATTCAACATCCTTAAAGAAAAGAACTTTCAACCCAGAATCTCCTATCCAGCCAAACTAAGCTTCATAAGTGAAGGAAAAATAAAATCCTTTGTGAACAAGCAAGCACTCAGAGATTTTATCACCACCAAACCTGCTCTACAAGAACTCCTGAAAGAGGCTCTACACATATAAAGGAACAACCAGTACCAGCCACTCCAAAAACACACCAAATGGTAAAAGAGCATCAACACAATCAAGAATCTGCATCAACTAACCAACAAAACAGCCAGGTAGCATCAAAATGACAGTATCAAATTCACACATAACAATACTATCCCTAAATGTCAATGGACTAGATGCCCCAATCAAAAGACACAGACTGGCAAATTGGATAAAAAGCCAAAACCCATCAGTGTGCTGTATCCAGGAAACCCATCTTACATGCAAGGATACACAAAGGCTCAAAATAAAGGGATGGAGGAAGATCTACCAAGCAAATGGAGAGCAAAAAAAGGCAGGAGTTGCAATTCTCATCTCTGATAAAATAGACTTTAAAGCAACAAAGATCAAAAGAGACAAAGAAGGACATTACATAATGGTAAAAGGATCACTGCAACAAGAAGAGCTAATGATCCTAAGTATATACGCACCCAATACAGGAGCACCCAGATACATAAGGCAAGTTCTTAATGACTTACAAAGAGACTTAGACTCCCACACAATAATAGTGGGAGACTTTAACACCCCATTGTCAATATTAGACAGATCATCCAGACAGAAAATCAACAAGGATATCCAGGACCTGAATACAGACCTGGAACAAGCAAACCTAATAGACATTTACAGAACTCTCCACCCCAAATCCACAGAATATACATTCTTCTCAGCACCACATCACACCTACTCTAAAATTGACCACATAATTGGCAATAAATCACTCCTCAGCAAATGCAAAAGAACAGAAATCATAACAAACAGTCTCTCAGACCACAGTGCAATCGAGTTAGAACTCAGAATGCAGAAACTAACCCAGAACCGCACAGCTTCATGGAAACTGAACAACTTGCTCTTGAATGTTGACTGGATAAACAATGAAATGAAGGCAGAAATAAAGATGTTCCTCGAAACCAATGAGAACGAAGACACAACATACCAGAATCTCTGGGACACATTTAAAGCAGTCTCTAGAGGAAAATATATAGCAATGAGTGCCCACATGAGAAGAAAGGAGAGATCGAAAATTGACACCCTATCATCAAAATTGAAAGAGCTAGAGGAGCAAGATCAAAAAAACTCAAAACCTAGCAGAAGACAGGAAATAACTAAGATCAGAGCAGAACTGAAGGAAATAGAGACACAAAAAACTCTTCAAAAAATCAATAAATCCAGGAGCTGGTTTTTTGAAAAGATCAACAAAATAGACAGACCACTAGCCAGATTAATAAAAAAGAAAAGAGAGAATAACTAAATTGATGCAATAAAAAACGATAAAGGGGATATCACCACAGATTCCACAGAAATCCAAACCATCATCAGAGATTATTACAAACAACTCTATGCACATAAACTAGTAAACCTGGAAGAAATGGATAAATTCCTGGACACCTGCATCCTCCCAAGCCTAAACCTGGAAGAAGCCGAAACCCTGAATAGACCAATAACATGGTCTGAAGTCGAGGCAGCAATAAAGAGCCTACCACCCAAAAAAAGCCCAGGTCCAGATGGGTTCACAGCTGAATTCTACCAGACATACAAAGAGGAGCTGATACCATTCCTTCTGAAACTATTCCAGACAATCCAAAAAGAGGGAATCCTTCCCAAATCATTTTACGAGACAAACATCATCCTGATACCAAAACCCGGCAGAGACTCAACAAGAAAAGAAAATTTCAGGCCAATATCCATGATGAACACAGATGCAAAAATCTTCAATAAAATACTGGCAAACCGATTGCAACAGCATATCAAAAAGCTCATCCACCATGATCAAGTAGGAT